GTGCTGGTCCTGCAAACCTCTTGCCTTTTCCCTGTCCGTGCTGGGGAGACTTCTTTTGCTCTTGCCATCTCAAATGCCCCATTTGCCTGAGGCTTTTTACCTGGTTCTTCCTCCTGTGCACCACCAGCCAGTCTCACCCTGGTCTCTGGAGGGGTCTCTGGGTCGCTCGACATGGACTTGTTTGTCGGACGTGCCAGTGAGAGCGCGAGCTGTAAGATACAGGGAGGGCAGCAGTGCCGTGAACATCAGATATTATCCCAACCATAGAAACACTGGCTGGGTCAGGTAGGTGGAAAGGGCAGTCCCTATCCCCTATGTGGTGACTGTGGCACCCATAGGGATAAGCCCATAGGGATATGTGCTTGTGGGGTGTCACAGGTGAGCCCAGGACCCCTCCTGCACTGACCCACAAGGATGGGTGCAGGTGCTGCTGCACGCTGGTCCTCAGACCTCGATGGAAACCGCGTGGGCACCGAAGGGGAGGAACAAGGGTAAAGGCTGAATGGCCACGGCTTGACCATGTGCAAATACATCCCTGTTGGCTTCTCACACAGCCACGCCATCTTCCCACAGGACATTAATGGTGGTCACAACAGTGCCCACACCAGTGCTGGACTTCCCGGGATGTTAATGCCAACAGGAGCTGTACTCACCACAGCTGCCTCCTCCTCCTCATCTTCCTCCTCCTCCTTGACAGCCCCAGGCAGTACCCGGGCAGCGTTGGGCCAGTGGTAGGGCAAGTGCAAGTTGTCCTGCTCTGCCCTGTGACTCCCACAGGGGCCATGGGTTGCCGGCACAGCAAGGCTCTCCTGAGGGCTCAGCCGAGGGCTGCCGGCCCCCCGCAGCTCCCGGCGGTTGTGCCAGCCCATTTCCTTGCCTCGGCTGGAGTCCGACAGATCCAGTGGCCCATCTGCACCATCATCCATCGCCGCCTCTGCCTTTTCTTGGAGTTCAGAGCCATCACGGCTCAGCCAAAGCTCTTTCTCTTCCTTCCCATCCATGGCGTCCTCCAGAAAGGACCTTTCCTCCTTGCATCCCATCGTGATGTTGGGCCATGGGGAAAGGGACCGCTCCTTGGGCGCAGGTTTTATGTCTTCATCTGCCCGCTGGCCTGGCTGGCACTGCTGCATAAGGAGATGTTGCAGCCGCTCCCTGTGCTTGAGGAGGTGCAGCTTCTCCTCCAGGTGCTGATCCCTCACATACACCATGGTGGCAGGGAGCTTCAGCAAGGCTGTGTGGTCTTCCCAGCCATCACGCGACCGTGTCTGGCCATCCACATCCTTGGCCCGAAGCAAATGGCTGGAGAAGCTGCTGCCGTCCCGGTCTGGTGAGACGCAGTTGCTTGCCAGCCCCAGCTGGTGCAGGGAAAGGTGCTTTTGGAGGAGGCAGAGCTGCTCTCTCCGGGTGGTCATTTTTAGGTTTTCGTAGGATGGAGCAACCTTGGGGGAGTACGGTTTGCTTGCTGTTAAATAACTGAAATAAGCAGAAAAAAACCCAATAATGTTAATAAGAGAATTTTCATGTGATTTCCCAGCTCCTGCAGGTGATGCGTGTGATCTTTCCTGCTCTTTCTGTGCCCCACTGCCTGTTGCAGCTCCTGGTCCCCTGCACCACAGCTGCCTTCAGGTGCCGTGCTGGGAGTCAAGGCAGCCAGCAGTGGCTCCTCCACACTGGACACATTGCAGGAAACCACCACTCACCATCCCACCCATCTCACAGCGTCCTCCTGTCCCTGGGTCAAGGAAGCAGGGGGACATGGTGACCATTCATGTCAGCACTGTTGCTGAGGAGTCACTTATCAGACCATATCTTATGGTCATAAGCATCCTAACTATCCCCCATTGGGCTTTCTTAGTGCCTTGGTGAGCCTGAAGACCTCCAGGAAGGAGGAACAGCACACCCTCTGCTAATGTCACTCAATGGGAGACTTTTACAGCCATGCTAAGAAGCTTGGTGTGGTGCATGAACCTGCCCTGCACGTCGAGTCCGTGCTATCGCTGGGTATTTGGTAGCTTCCCTGGGTGTGAGCTTTTCTAGGAAATGCTTGGGCGGATCTACTCCCACTCTGGGAAACTCGCTGTTTCTAGAGGTGAACTCATTGGCTTTGCTCAGCCCTCTGCACTTCCAAAATCAGTGGAAAGGACAAGCCCAGGGAGGTGCAGAGCCCTGCAGAAAAGCCCATTAGACATTATAAGGAGGAGTGGGGACTGCTGCCTTCTCCCCCTGGCTGGAGGTGGGGGCACTTGGTTCACTTTCTTGGTCTGTCTGATGAAGCTGGAGTAAGAGAGAGGCTTTACTCGTCAGACTGGATTCCAGTCATTTTTTTGCTGGTGTAAACTGAGAGACCCTCACTTTCCCCAAGGCCATGGGAGAAGCCTGGAGAAGAAGGTGGGCAGATACAGCAAACACCGGCCATCTCATCACAGTCTGTGGATCAGACCCACAATGTGACCCATGAGAGGGTAACTCACGCCTCAAGGCTGGGACTGTGCTCGCGTTCTGGTGGGAGAGGAGTCTTCCTTGCTGGTGGGGATGCCGCTGTCCCCAGAGGACTTTTCTCCAGGAGGCAGGGCGTGGAGCCGGGTCTCACCAGGGCGATGGTCCCATGCAGCTGGTTGGAGACCCTCTGGGATGCCTGCAGCAGGGGGACAAAGTCCAGATGAGCTGTTCTGCTGCGCACCCCAGGCAGTGCATGGCTAAGGGGAGCCTTGTCAAGTGGAGATGCTGCTTTTCACCAGCATGAGCAATACAGACAGCTCCTACGTGCTCTGTTTGGTACAATTCTGGTCGACAGCTCAACCATACTTTTATTTTTTTCCCCAGTAAATTTCCCCTTTGTATTTTCTAGTGGGATCTACAGTAGTCCTTATTTTCTGGCTGCGCTGATTTGTAGCCCAGGAGGTCTTGTGCCTCCTCTCAACTCAAGCCAAGATTCAGTGACTTCACCAAGATAAGACCCTACAAATTCTCCAACCCCTAGTCAGGCCACCAGACGTTGTTCATGCAAGCTCCTGGCATGCACTGGTTCGATGGGTGTAATTGCAGGGGAGTGAGTACCTGGCTGTGAGGCCAGGACATCATCACTTCCATCTGCTGCCATGAAAGCCTCACCACATGTTCTGACTTGACTTTCCCCTGCCCACCTGGAGATGTCACCAGCCCCTCCTGCGATCCCTATTAATTATCCACACAGCCTGCCTGCAGCCTTCCCAAAACCTTTTTTCACCTGCTCTTTCAAGTTTTCTGTGGAGTTCAGGTAAGCAAAGCCTGTGCCAAAACAGAAGCATCTATGTAAGTGTGTATGTGGGTTTGAGTTCCCACAACCAGAAACAGGACTCCAGGTCCTGCAGTCTCATCTCCCAGTGCCCAGTATCACCATATCACTCGGCATCCCCCAGCTGACACATACCCTCTGTGTTTTAAAGGCATGGCAAGGCATTGATGCACAAAAGGGCAACCACTGAATGCCAGGCCATACCAGTGTTCCTTATGCTGCAGATGGTGAGACACCAGCGATTCTCTAGGGCAGGGCTGCTGTGGTGTATTTGTTCTCAGTACCCACAGCTCCCACAGTTTACATTTTCTCCAGGCTTTTCCACCATTCATAGCGCTCCAGCTTCTTGTTTGCCCAGGTAATGCAGAGCTGAATCTATCACTCAGGATAAGCTGTACTGAAACACAGCTCAGCACAACCTGCCTGGGTCCATCACACCTCAGAGCTTTCCCCAGCAAGACATCCATGGCAAACTGCCCAAGTCTGGCTGATTATTTTACCCCCTAAGTGCCTCCTCTCTACCCTAGCCCACCTGCCCTGATCTAGTTCAGATGATGATCTCCACAGCAGTGGAGAGAAGGCCTGAGGATGCCAGGCCACCTCCAGCAACTCACAATTTCCGCAAGGCTGACTTCTTGGAGGACACTGCTTGGGGAAGTCCTTCTGCTTGGAGAGCTTCTGTGTCCTGCAGGCTTTTCTGCAAAAAAAAGACACAAGCAGCCACCATGATGGTCCTGCAGAGCTGTTGCAGTCTGTCCTGACCTGCCCTGTTACCGGAGCCTCACAGCCTCCTCAGGAAGCTGCTGGCTGGCATCGACCACCTCCTACTGATTTTGAGCCAAAATTTCTGTCTGGCTCAAGCCACCACCTGAATGTACATACCCTCCATCGATGTGTGGGTGGCAGCAAGGCAACAACATGGGCTCTGCATGAAATGTGTGGCGGGTCCATACTTGCACAGCATTTGCCCTACAGTGAGGGCACCCAAGGACTCTTGTTCTAACGCAGAGCAGCGTGTTCTCCCTTGAGATGCATTTCCACCCCCCCCAGCAGCTATTCTGGCCATGGCAGTGACCATTTCAGCTGCCAGCAGCTTGGCCTTCACTCTCCAGACTCTTTCCTAGAGCAGCTTTGCATCACAGCTCAAGTCACTCTTCCCATCCCCAGCTCCCCTGAGGGTGGTGGGAGCCAGCAGCACTCACCTTCTTCCAGCTCGAGACCCTGCACGTTATGGTGGGCTTCTTCTGCTCCCCTGTGAGCTGCTTTCTCTCCGCTGGTGTTCCTGCTCACTTGGGACTGTAAAGCCAAGGGGGAGCTGGGGGTGGAGCTGCTTTCTCTGGAGGTCACTCCTGGGTGCTTTGTCCTGTCCCTGTTGAAAAGAGAAAGACACAAATGAGTGAGAATGGGCAGGAGAAGGAAATCCCCGGTTTGAGGGCCACTGTACTGGGAGCCCTGTGTTATAGAGCCTGATAAGCAAATATACATATTTATATATACATGTATGTGGATATACCGGATCCTAGGACTCACCTCCTTCCATTGCAGCTTATCGCTGGCTCAGCTGCAGTCTGGACCACAGGACAGAGCCAGCACAACAGCTCAAGGTCTGGTTTCCCCACCTGGCTGCAGGTAACGTTGCAGGAAGCCACGGTGTTGGGTAAGCCAAAAACCAACCGCAGCTATTGCAAAAGCTCTGTGAGAACCCCTACGTCCCTGGCTGGGCTTTCAGCCTGTGTAGGGGTGGATTCAGCGCAGGGATGTGGTGGCTGTGACCCTTCTCCATATCAAGCTGGTGGGGCTGATGCTCTTGGTCACTACAATGTGAGTTTTGGAGCCCCGTGGTTATGTGATGGATCAGGTCCTGGCAGGACGCTGATGCTGAGTCATGGGTGTTTGACTGGAAATCTTTGTACCCAGCAGCCCAGGGAAGAGCAGAAAAGGAGTTCTCAGTGCTCAGCAAACCCAGCCTGACCTACAGCCTCAAAACTCCTCAGGCCTTGGGAAGCATCAAGGAGGAAAAGCGAGAGTTTCTCTTTAAGCGGATGGTGCTTCTGTGCTCCAAAGAAAACACATTTCTAAACTAATCCCGCAGTGCTAATTCATCCGGACTTTAAACCCTTGAGGAATGAGCTGATTTGTGTGCATTGGCCAGCCGGGCAGGTTACTCAGCTTTCAGCCAGCGCTCTGCTGGGGCATGAACCTGTTGGAGCAGATCACGCCTCTCTCCTAATCCCAGCCCAGTCCCTTGCGTGTCACTCTCCTTCCCCTCAAACACCACCTGCTTCCTGCAGACCCTCTCTGGCTGCTGCAGGAGGGGAATTAGACACCAAAACACCCCTGAGGACGCCACAGTCTGGATGTAGCCATGCTCAGCTGTGGGAATGCCTCCATCCTTACCAACACCCCTCGTAATGAATGCAACCCAGGAGAGCACTTACTCCAGGCTCCGGATCCTCTTCAGCTCTTCCTTGAGAGTTTTGTTCTCTTCCCTCAGGCGGTTTGTCTCATTACCTGCAGGGACACAGGTTGTGCCATGGATTCAGGTGCTGCAAGGTGAGAGCCGATGCTCCTCACAGCTTGCTGGGGTTGCACATGGGAGGAGGAAGGAATGGCACCTTGTTTTGGAGTGATGCTGGCCCTCTAACAGATACAAAGGAACAACTTTCTGACTTGAGTTTAGTCAGGATTAGTGGAAGCAGCTCAGGGAGAGAGCACAACCCAGATGGGATGGTGGCTGTGGCATGGTGGGATGGACACAACCGGCATCCTGCTCTGAGCACCGTGGCTGCCTGTAAGGAGCGGGTGCTGTGTTAGGGGAGGGCTGTGGGCTACATGGGCGACCAGAGGAAGGCCAGAGGAAGCTGTGAGCACCCAGCACTGCAGCAAGGAGGCAGCAAGCGAGCGCAATGGCATAACAGGAGAGATAAACCAAGGGCTGCTGGCCCCCTCTCCATCCCTCCCAATGTCTTATCTCCTTTACCTCCGTGACTCTCCCTGGGCTAGCCAGATACCCAGAGAAAGACATCTTTAGCCTGAGTGGAGCTGGGACCACTGCCAAAGGCTTGGGAGAGGATCCCTCACACGTGTTGCTTGATTGCCATTTACTGGTGCTGAGCTGCTGTTGTGGCTGCCCTGTCTTTGCCAGAGCATTGCTTCTGTAGTGCCAAATGCATCTTTTTTTTTCCAGGCAGCTGATTGGCCTGGGCAACTCAGGGCTGCTCTCCGTGTGAGCATCTCTCATTTTTTGTGGAGGTGTGGAGGGCTGCAACGCCCCAGCTCTGCTGCTTTGTGCAAGGGGGAATGTGAGCTGCCATCCACAGTCCTGTTCTGATCTGATTTTTCAAGGCCCCCAACACTTACGTCATCTCCTTTCCTTCTCCCCATCCCCAAACCCCTCCTGGGTGCCCGGTCATAGAGGGACTCACGTGTAAATATATGGGAGAAGCATTAACCGAGCAAAGACTCAGCCGGCCAAAGCCGAGCTGTCAGAAGGCAGCGATACATACTGAGGATGAAGATGTGCTGCAGGCTCTGGAAATGGGAGCTCTCGTACTCATTCTGCTTCTTTTTCGCCAGCTCCTGGGTGACCATGCATCTGTCACAGAGACCCGCTCGCAGCCTGTAGGAAAACCCACGCCCTGGGTGTTACCATGGGGGAAATAAGCTCCTGCTCTCCCCACGGGTGAAGCATCAGCTTCAGATCCAGCCCATCACCCAAAATTGATAAGAGGGGTTTTTATCCGTGCAGCCCAGCCTTGGCCCTTCCACCCCTCCAGATCCAGCACCACCACCACCACCAGCTTGGGAAAGCTCCTGTCCCCCACTCATCCAGCAGTCGAGGATGAGCAAACAAAGGGTTCATGTGTGGGAAGGCAGCAAACCCCAAACTCTCCCCCTAGGAGGGTGCAGCGGCTGCTATCAACAGCCTTACCTGTTTTCTAACACCTTTACGTTTTCTTTAAGGACCTTCTGTTGTTCCCTTAATTGGTGATTTTTGGCAAATAACTCTTCAATTCTTTGAGCATCACTATTTGAAGAAACATAACAAAGAAAAGAGGGTTATGAGATTTCACCCACAAATCTGTGCCTTTGTCTGCAGCACCCTGTTGAGGGGCAGGATTTCTGCTCACATTGCTGTGGCTGAATTGCTTTTGCTTGTGTGGCAAGAGGGGAAACAAATGTGTTGGAGCCCAGATGCTGCCCTGCAATACCCACCGTTAGGTTTAACAGCTTTTATCATCCTGGTTTATTGTATCCCATGAAAACAAGTGCCTGCTGGCCTGAGCATCACCTGCCAGTGGACAGGTGAACTGGAGGTGGCCTGGGATCACCTCAAGCCCTGCCTGTGCTGGGTGAAAGTCACCAGAAAGGTTCAAACTCGGCAGTGCCACAAAGGCAAGCTCTGCTCTAAATCAGGGGTGAAAATGAAGTGGCATCACCTCCCCTCCGTCCCCCATCCAACCACGGTGTGGGCAGAGCAAATGTGGGGTTCCTCACCGGCACTTCTCCGTTGTCAGCTCCGCCAGTTTGCTTTGCAGACCTGGAATAATTCACAGAGACAGAGGGGTGGGTGTTTATTGCCAATTCCGAGGAGACAAAACACAATGATGGGATTTCAGGAGGGTGCCTGGCATCGCAGAAACCTCATCAATTTACAAACCTTATTTCCGAGAAGGAATAGCACATTGCCTGCATTAAACAACACTGCAGTTTAATGTAGCTGGAAAAGTTGTGCAAAATGTGAGCACATTTTGTATTTTCACCGTTTAATGAGTCTGCATTTCCCTTCCATCCCTGAAAAGTCTGCTTCAGTTTTGTTTCTGCTTATTTCTCATTACAGCACGCATTTCCCAGGTGGGCAGTATTTTATAACTCTTGGGGCTGCAAAGCATCTTGGAGGATATTTACAGCTCAACAAGAACAGCTTTCGTTGATGGATCTGCAGACGTTACATCTTGTCAAACCCATTTTATGCAAAGTAGATGTAAACATGTGGTTTAAATTGCCCAACAGTTTCCTCTAACTCTCACATTGCTTGAAATTACACAAGAGAAGAATGAATTCATAAGCCAGAATCCTCTAAAAGCGCTGTTGTTTCATTCGTAATACTGATACTGGGAATTATTCTAATAGGAAAACAATTGGATTTGGCATTTGGTTGCTTAACCTAATAGTTCTAATTTTAATAATGTATGATCAGAGGAATAATTTAATCCCTAGAGGAATAAGGTTTTCTTTAACATAGCCTCATACTCCTGCTGCTTCATTCTTACAGATTATTGCATCTCTCCACTCTCCCTTTAATCCCTCAGTGTCCAAATATACCCAGAACCACATCTCTTGGAGAAGATGCCCAGCAGATGTGCATGTCACTTCTGTCAACCTCCCAGTTCACCTTTATCACAGACCAGGACAGTGGGAGGAGGAAAGGAGCCACATCCCCCGTGATGAATGCTTGGCACAAGTGGGATATCTCCAGGGATAGCAGATGCAGGAAAACCCTTTCACATCTGCTCCTCCTCATCATCCAAAAAGTTACTAACTTCCTCAGTAAACCTTGTTCTTCACCAGGATAAGATGGATAAACCGTACCAAGGTGCCACTAGATGGTATGGTCCAAAGGGCCAGGCTGTGACCCTGCATCCCCATCCATCCCCATTGGTGATGCTCATTGAGCCCTAACTCCCAATGCTTCCTAATCAACGCCCTCCTCCCTTTGGGTTATTTAAAATCAAACAGACCAAGGTGGCATCACAAAGAAATGGATCTCCACTAGTTTTTAATAAGACTTCTTCTATCTCCTTACCTTGGATCTCTTTCTCATGGATTTCCTTGAGCTTATTCAGGAACTCAGCAAAACTCTCCGTGGTCATGGCTGGGGCTGTGCTGTATGCTGGGCTGCTTCCAGTGCAAGGATGTCTTTTTGTTTCAATTTATTCAGGTTTCAGGCTAAAAGAGAAACAGAAAGTCCAATAAAAGAGAATTGTCTTGTGTATGTGGTGTTCTGGAAAGTCTTAGAAACAGGACAAAGCTCAGATTTAGAAAACGAAATACAGACATGTACAAAGCAGCAGGTTCATCCGGGGAGGCATTTTCAGACCTGCCTCAGCCCTGTGCTGGGAGCATGGGCAAAGTAGAGAGTGATGGCTCAGATGCCCTGCCCCACCTCATCCCAGATAAATGCAATTTAAACAGCTCAAAAAGTAGAGGGAAAAACCTGATTTATCAGCAGGACTTTCAGTTCTCCCATTTTCATGCTAAGTGCCATCACTTAGTGCTGGTGGTAATGTTCAACAATGCCCAAGAACAGATAAAGTGCTCTGCTTTCTAAAAAACCCCACTTCTCCCTTTTTTTTGGGTTGAAAACTCCCCCAAACAGCAGGAGATGTGGAGAGCACTCCACGACAGCCTCAGCTTTGTAGGCTGGGAAGGGCAGGAGGTACACAAACAACCTGAACGTAAAGTGGTTGGCTTTTAAGAATTTTGCCCTAATCCCAGTGATCATAAATTTTGAAATTACTGATTACATCAGCGATAACTTCAGTCCTTCCACTGCGTCAGGAGAAGAGGAACTTCCATGTGGGGGCATTCAGCATCACCACATGGGAGCTTTTTCCCTAGAAATCACACGCTGGGTCACCGAATCACTGCTGGTAATCCCGGTCCTAAGCACCTGGGCACCCTGGAGATGACCAGGATGGAAATCTCCCCTCCATGGTTCAGGGGCAAAAGGCCATGCTGGGACCCCTGTTTTGCAGCCCCACAGCAGCATGGGGAGGTTTCTGCCGGCCTCCAGCATGCTCCCAGCCCTGCTCCCTGCCAGTGCCTTTATCTGAATGCAGAGCAGAGGTGTGCCAGATCGCCTGCATATGCAAGATGTGGGCACACAAAGCTGGAAGAAGAAACTTTCCCCTAAAGCGTCTGATTTTCTAAAGAAATGAGGCACGCGCCAGCGAGCGGAAGCAGCGAGCTCGGCTTGCGCGCCCTTAGCATGCTTGAAACAGCTTCCTTGCCTTTTGAGCAAACAAACAGAGATCTTGCTGTCTGGAGAAACAATTAAAAAAAGAAATATTCATTGCTCCCATTTCTCTGAGGATAACCCACCCTTTCCCAGGGCTGAGTGATCTCTTTCAGCAAGTAAAAGCCATGCAAGGCACGGTGCGGCTTGTCACGGCTCGCACAGCTCGGGATCAGCTGCCGTGAAATGGGATTGGGAACTGATCTCTGCTGCACAGCCCCAAGAGCCATCGTTGAGTAATGAGCCAGGGGAAATAATACCCAGCTCTACTCCAGAAAAATAAATAAAACAAACCCCTGATGTTAACGGGAAGCACTTCCCTCGGTCGCTGAGCTCTAAATTCAGCTCTACCCTGGGGAAAGCAGCTTCTCAGGGCTGAAGGGAGGTTGTGGGACCCACCACTTCCATCACAGGGCTGAAATCCCGAGTGCCGGCTGGGAAGGCTTTGAAGTGCTCAGGCACTGATTCCCATTGCCTACCTCAGTGCTGCAAACTGGGAAAGCATTGCAAATGGGAGCAGAGCTGGCAGTGGTAGTGTAGGTTCTATCGTGGGTGCTGAACCAGCCCCTGCCTGCCCTGATGCTGTCTCTCTCCCTGAGGTTGCTGGCTTGGAGGGCTGATCAGCACCCTGCATTTTGGGCCATGGGGCTCCAGCTGGGACATCCTGGGAAGGTGACAACCAGGCTGGGGCTCCTGCCACCCCCTGGTTTTGGGAGGCAGGGCTGGGCTTGGATGTGGCTGGGGGTGTTGGGCGTGGGGGCAGCCCAGGTGCTCAGTGCTGGGTCTGGATCCCTGCGGCTGTGACTCAGCGCCGCGGGCAGAGCCCGGCAGATCAGGATTTGGGAATGGGGTGTGGGCAGCAACTTTGCCTCCTGTGCATGGCTTTGGTGCAACCAGGGCTGATTTTCTTTTCCTCAGAGACCCCAGGCCAGCAGGGACCTGTGATCTGCTGTGGATCTGATCAGCAGGGATAAGCTATTGCCATTTTTTATGCTTTTTGATGTGCCAGTATCTGTCCCTGCCTGCAGACAGAACTGCCACTCTGTCAAACCTGGCGAGGACTTTGGGTCTCTGGTCCATGCACACAGGTGGTTACAGGGATGTTGCACAAGCATCACCTCCCTGTACCCAGAATTTGGCCTTTAGCTGCTGCAGAGCAACCCCACAGGCAGCCCTGGTTCTCTGAGGGCTTTGGCTTTGCTCCCTTCTCACCCAGTGTGGACTGACCAAGGCATGAAGCCGCAGCCCCCGCTCCTCTGCTCCACTCAAGAGGATTTATTGAGGGAGATTTATTGATGAAGACCAGGCCACAGAGTCCCTCAGTGGGGAGCTTGCTCCCTGAGACAGGGATTTCATTTACAGCCCTGTGCCCTTTCCAGAGCTCTCACCATAATATACACCCAGCAGTGGTGGATGCGGCCCCGCAGTGGGGCCAGGAGCAGCCCTTTGGTGTGCTGGCGGGATCAGACATATTTCAAAGTGATGGGTGCCCCCTGCAAATACAGCCTCACTGTCAGGTACCAAAGGCAAATCCTCATCCAGCCCCTAAACCCGATGAGTTTGGAAAGCCCAAGCCCCTGCAGTGTAATGCATAATACAGGGTGGTCACTGACAGCCGTGGCTTTGCTTACCTGCTCTCCGTGTCCCCCGATGCTCAGCTCAGGGTGGGATGCGTGGTCCAGGTCAGGGCACAGGGTCCCCAGCACGTTGGCTCTCACACACAGCGCTGAGGCAGCCCCCAGCATTGCCTGGGTACCAATGGCATCGCTCCTCGGGGTGGGATGCTCCTGGCTGTGTCCGGGGAAAGGAAAAACAGGGAGGTTATTTCCATACCAGGGATTTTGGGAGGGAATGGACTGGGACAGCTGGCTCTGATAGCAGAGCCGTGCCCCATTCCATGGTCCCTGGGGAGTTTCTGGCCTCTCATTACTATCCCTGGTGCTGCTGGCCAGGCGCGCATCGAGCCACGGCACATCCCCACCCTCAGCACTGTTTTCTTTCAGAAGAATAAAGCAGCTCATTAGCTAAATGAGCTTAAGTCATTTAAAAAAAAAAAGAATTAAAAAAATGGCAGGACTCTGAAGTTCTGACACTGTCGGATCAGTGAAGCTTAATGGATTTACAACCAAATATTTCCCCATTAGCTGTGCTGGAGTTGTTCAGCTTTAGGCTGGATTTATGTAATCTACCTTTTGCTGGGCGATTGCTGGGCAGGGCTGCTCTCATCAGCCAAACTTTCTTTTCTTGGCTACCCTACTATGTTCTTGATCTAATTTTAGAATTATAAATTGAATTTATATTCAGAAAAGCTGCTTGCTCACTCATGGAAAATCTGCAGTGCCAGGATATTTCACGGGCCAGCATGAAGCTGATTTACTTTGCTGATATATCGTGCACTTGGCAGACTGGAGAGAGCTTTTTTGTGTATTTGGGATATTTTTTTTTTGCTGGGAATTTATTTATTTGTATGACTTAACATGGCACAGCCTGTCCTAAAATGGAGCCCAACACTTGTTCTCCACCACACTGGTTTTGCTTGTAAACGTTGGATAGGGGCTGGCAGATTGCAAAATTACCCCCCTACGGGCAAGACAGGAGGAGCAGCTTTGACTCTCACCTCACAGAGGAGGAGAATTTGGTGCCTTCCTCCACCTCACACAACCCAAAAATCCTCCCCAAAGCAGGGCAGCCACTCTGTGCTGCTCTACCAGCCTGGGGGCCGGTTTGCAGCGAGCCCTTTCTGCAGACAACCTACCCAGATTTTGGCTGGGGGTCCCAGTGAGGAGCAGCAGTGGGACTGTTATCCACCTTGCTGGCCCTTTGGGTTTGCTGGGGCTGGGCATGGGTCACAGCCCCCTGAACAAGCTGAACAGGCCCAGTAGCCCCAGGGAGATGCTGTCCCTGCTCACGTGTGTGCAGACATGCCCCATCGCAGGGAGAGGAGAACAAGAGCGAAGCCTCCAAGAGAAGCCTCAAGTCCCAACCTGCATACCCATCTACTTCAGCCCTATAAAGGCTGTGTTGCCATAATACAGCGCAGCCCTGGCTATCGCAAACCCAGCAGCTCCATTTCTCCCCCGCCACTCCAGCCCTTTTTGGGCAGCTTCCGCTTCTCCAATCGCTGCAGCAATCACCAAAGCAATGGGGAGTTTCTTCCATTACCTCATTTCTGCTTAACAGCCCCTAGCTTGGGGTGTCCTGGTATCTCCTGGGAATAGGGACATCTCTCCTCTCACCATAGAGTCTTTGCTGCTCTGGGCTTGCAGGATCACTAAAGCAGGAAAGGTTGGTCCTCTGCAACATCTGAATATACCCAGGAACCGAAATTTGGCTTTTATATGGCGGGGCGAGCAGTTAAGGGGTCCCTTCTTGCACCGTTCCCAGCTGGGAGGAAGGCTTTGTCCTCCTGTTCCCCAGCTCCTGCTGCTTTGCTGAGGTTTAGCAAGAAATATTTATCCAGCTTGAGGAGGAATGGCATTTGGACCCGCCAGCCATGCTATGATGCTCCCCAGAGCACGGTGGGCTTTGGCCGGATCTGCGGGCAGGTCTGTGTGCCTGCACGAGAATTCGGAAGATGATTAAAAGTAGCCACTATCTGTCTGTGCATCTTGGGGTAACCACAGCTTCTATAAACATTACTTAATTAACACCTCAAAATGCTCTGGGAAGTGGGTAATGAAGCATTATCACATTTTCGGGTGTTTTAATTGAGAAGTGGTGAGGCTCCAGGAATAGCTCAAGGCCCTGTCGGGAGCAGAGCTGCCTGGCTGCTGCCTCCTCCAGCCCAGCCACACGCTCCCACTGCATCCCCCATCTCCAGAGCCTTCGGATGGGGACAGTGGGTGGTGAATACCC